AGCGCTGCACCCTTTGCAAAGGGGATACCGTCTATGATGCGAAGAACAGGAACTAGAGAAGCGGTGACGAGTGCGTATGCTCGCACAAGCCTCATCTATTGCTATAATCGCCCCAAATGCTCGCGAACGGTGAATTAGTGCAGGCAAACGACGTATTTCTGCAGACTTACAACATTCCAACGTGGAGCGGCGCAGCCGGCGGGCAAAAAACGCGAACGCATCGAACGACCAGTTCCGCCAAATCGTTGTCGCAACGTGCTTGTACGAAAAAGTCGCAGGAAAAAAAACTGCGATGTATGAATTACGGAAGCAATGAAGAGAGAGAATGAACACAATGGGTGTGGGAAAACTCGCATGATGATTAAGTGTACGGTTGAGTAATTTTATGAAGTCCTATGCGCAATCGCAGACATCATCCACACTGCGCATTTTAGCTCGGGTTTCCTTGGCCATTTTGGAAACATCGGCATTACTTAGAAATATTGTTGTTGGCTAAAAACAAAGAAGACACCACAAAACCGCAAGAAAGTGCGCTTCGCGGCCGACAGAAACCAACACTATACGCGCCGTTGCGGAGATGTGCAGACTCACATATTACGTCATTAATTAGCTCATCTGTACGAGGGCGTGTACTACATTCACCACTGCGATCTGTGATTTGCTAAAGTGCGAAGTCACTAATGAAGACTAGATTTCGGTGCTATTGAACAAAGAAAAGAAGGGGGATGCAGAGGAGGGGGGGGGGGGGGGAAAGGAGGAGGAGGAGAGCGAAGTGCAAAGCCATAACATCATCTTCTTTCTCTTCGGTATCGCAGTGCAAAGCGAACGATGCGAACTTTACACTCTGCACTTGGACGATCTAAAGCATCTTTTGCAGCGGAATGTGGCACTGCTAGACGAACGCATTGACAAACTCTTTTCTTTTCTGGCAAGTCAGAAATGAAAAGTCAAACAACAAGCAGCCAGAAAGTGAAATGTCCCATTGTGCGAGATCTCATTTACGAGTTTTTCCAGTTGACGAGGAGGTGATGGGGCTGGCTTTTTTCAACGTCACTGTATCATCTGGAAATGCAGCTGGATTGAGGAAAAGGAAAAAACCTTAGATTATTGCAGGAAAAGGTGCAAGAGCTGAACGATAGCTGAGTATATAAATCAGTGGAACTAGAGCAGGAGATAAGATTTTGTTGGCTCCAAAATAAAGAGCGACTATAGCGTGCATAATGTACACTCTGTCTCAATCCCGTCTCCGTTTTACTTGCATATTGGCATTGCGCAGGAGCGCATTTGTGAGCTCAAATTGGCCTTATGGTTGCCAGGTCAGCACACGATCGCGACTGCTTGCGGTGTTGATACCTAGCCGCAGGCAAGAGTGACAATGCGATTGAGACAGACCGTTTGATTCTTTGGCTATGAGGCCCTAGATGATTTATGGGCGGTTTTGGGCAGAGATGGAGTACGGTTCTAACTTTTACTGCATCTTGGGATCATGCAGGAATAGTGCACTTGATGAGAGCGCACTTTACCAGAGCATAGCTCATTTTACGCAAACTCGAACTACAAGCTACTGTATCTACCTAACAACGTGGTCGAGTAGAGAGACGAGCGCTCGCAGATGGGCTTAACCAAAAAGAACGACGTAAGGAAATTCGAAAATTACGAAAATTGCAGAATTGGCTATGTGCTAAAAAGCAACAAGAACGACTTAAAAATGAAACCTCAGTTGATGACTTGCGTCGACGATCAGCTAGACCTTTATTTAGAAATGCATGGGTAGAGAATTGGGCAAACCCAGCCATACATGAAGCAGCGCAACCAGTGTGAATGACCGATATATGTGATATTCGCATGCTATTGACGTAGCAATTTGCACTTAGATAGAACTCCATAATCGAAACGGCTAATTCTATGAGAATGGGCTATCCTGTACCATTTATCGAGCACAGCTATGCACTTTGGTAAACGTTCTGGAAAGGAGAATATAAAATGACCCAATAAATCTGCGAGTCTTTATCGGCTGAAGAATCACACAGACAACTAAAGAGCCCAAAATCATCTCAGATAATTCTTCCTAGACACGAAACCAATCTGAGTTTTAGACCACGAGTTCAGCACACTTTTTTTGCAATAAAGAGCAGGCATCTTGATCCAAGATAGGAGCATCATCGATGGAAGGAAAAAGCAACGAAATGCACCTGCACTCCGCTGCTTCGTCCTTTTGGCTCATCGAAGGGGGGCGTGGCTGACATGACCCGAAGCGTAGGAATGATACAGAACGATACCCTCTATTAAAGTATCCAATCCATGCATGTAATTCCCGAGTAGTTTTTGAAGTTTGGATCTATTTTTGTAGTCCCATTAATATAACAAAGCATGGAAAGCAATTGTAGCGTAATATGGGAAAGCTCTCTCAATGCACTTAGCCGTTGTCTATAAAAAGTTTCTCGTGTAGGTGGCGACAATGCTGACCTATAGATAGCAGAATTATATATAGAAGCTTTCTGAATGTTTTACTCTCTTCAAAATTTAATTGTTAAAAACCGTCTGATGCTGGCCATGAAGAATAAAGTAAAACTCCTTTGGACCAATTTTTAAAGACAGAAAACAATACAAAAAGCTGCAAGCAGTTCTGGTACCTACTTCTGCATCCTTAGTGCAACCTACATTAGTCTTGTCATATAAGAAACTTGCAAGTTCCCAGCGAACACAAAAGCGGTTTTTTTTTTTGACAAAACTCCATATCGTTCGAAAAAAGTATCTACTGCTTTATTCTCCCCAAATAACCTTGTTATAGCGCAATTCTGATCACTGACTCGTGTAGGGCTGAAGAAACTTGAAAGATGAAAGACGGCACCAAGAAAGATCTCGAAAAAAATTATAAAATAATTCTAAAACAGGCAAGTGGCGTCTTGCAGGCTTATAAAGCGAAGAATATGCTTTATTGCCACATAGAATACATAACGATTAAGGAATAAGAAAATCTGAAAGCGATCTTTTTGGTCTGGTAATGCAAATCCTTTTGCAGGGCCATTTTGCATGCCATGAATTCAATGTCACAGACCTTGATGGGTCCAATAGAAGGCCCACTCGTAAGAATACAAACAGCCGCCTCCGAAAAAAGTTTTTCAGACTAATTTTTCAGACAGAGGCTAATTTGAATTCAGAAATTCTTAAGAATTGAATAATTCACAAATAAAAACAAGTTGCCTGCGCATTTTATAACATACTAGCTGGCTTACCCGGCTCCGCCGTATCCGGACCAAACTTGGCACACATACACTTCGGGCCCCGGCGGGTGTCACAGTCCACTTTTCGTTATCGATCGATGTCGATTTTACCGATTTTTATCGATTTTTTTGCAGAGTTCACCTACAGGGCTAGGAGTTGGCACAGGGGGGAAGTGAGCATGGGGATTCCGAATACAACATTAGTTTTCAGGATCGTCCATTACTTTTATCGATTTTATCGATTTTTTTTGTAAAGTTTGACCTGCGGGGCTGGGAGTTTGCACAGGGGGGTAATCGAGCATGCTGATTACGAACACAATATTAGTTTTCAGGATCGTCCATTACTTTTATTGATTTTATCGATTTTTTTTGTAAAGTTTGACCTGCGGGGCTGGGAGTTTGCACAGGAGGGTAATCGAGCATGCAGATTACGAACACAATATTAGTTTTCAGGATCGTCCATTACTTTTTCGATTTTAATCGAGCATGCTGATCACCCCCAAGGGGGTGATCAGCATGCTCGATTATACTCCTGTGCCAAATTCCAGCCCCCTAGCTCAAACTTTGCAAAAAAATCGATAAAATCGATAATAGTAATCGATAATCCCGAAAACCAATATTGTATTCGGAATCCCCATGCTCGATTACCCCCCTGTGCGAACTCCCAGCCCCGTAGCTCAAACTTTGCAAAAAAATCGATAAAATCGATAAAAGTAATCGATAATCCTGAAAACCAATATTGTATTCGGAATCCCCATGCTCGATTACCCCCCTGTGCCAACTCCCAGCCCCGTAGGTGAACTCAGCAAAAAAATCGATAAAAATCGATAAAATCGATATCGATCGATGACGAAAAGTAGCCTATGACACCCGCCGGGGCCCGTAGTGTATGTGTGCCAAGTTTGGTCCGGATCGGTTCAGAAATGGAATTTTCTATTCGGAACATACGTACATACAGACATACAGACATACAGACATACAGACATACAGACATACAGACAAACAGACATTCAGCTTTATATATAAGATGTAACTTTCAAAAATTTCGCGACCTATTCCGCCCCCCCCCCCCACCTCTCCTCGGTACGCCACTGCATATTTCGTATATGTATAAATTTGTGCGTACATAGCTGTAGCGCTTCCCGATCTACCAACCATTTTTTGCGCCCAAATCCCCCGCTCTATTCTTTTTCGCACAATAGCATTTCAAGATGCCGCGCTGCTTCTCAGACATTTACACGTAGCCCAACGGGGAGCAAAAATTGCGAGAACGCAGACGACATGCATATTTCATATGATCTAAAAAAGCAACTGCATGACATTGTTTACGTGAATAATGTCATACAAGCGTTAATGTATCTAATCGTTCAGATTGATTGAATCCTGTGCTGTAAAACATTGGCGGAGGCAATTTTTCAAGAAACAAAAATGGCGCATAAACATGGCTCAGCGATGTTCTGAAGCCTAATGCATTCGAGAATCCATTAGCCGGAACCTTTTATTCTGCATTTGCAGGCGAGACATATATTTCATTCCAATCACGTCACGACTCCTGATTTATTGCTGAGGTGCAAAAGCCGTCTGAAAATGCGCTTTGCTGCAAAGCGCAAGCGAATCGAGTGTAAAGTTTCAATATAGACTAAACAATCCCTGCATCCTTATTGCAACATCGAACCGCTGCTTGAATATCATTTTTCAAATTAATGATCGACAGATAACCGTTCATGGAAATTTCAGCATTTTGAAAATTGTTGGAATAAGAATGTAACTACTTACGTTAAATTGTGCATACTTCCTCCTATTCCAAGATGAGTGCGATGATTCGAGTCACGTTCTGGTGAATGATACGCTGAAAAAACTTTTATAGACGCTGCGGTGTTTGATTTTGAAGCTCAAGTAAAGCCCGCAAATTTACTCAGAAGTCCACACTCCGTAACATTGCTAAGCTCACATATGTAGTACCGCTTGAAATTTGTAGAAAACGATACACAATCGCCCGATTCATGAAACATCAGCGGTGCCCCATATCTTGCTTCAGAGTGGACAAATAATCCAAGGGTAACAATTAACTCAGCTTGGCGCAGCGCATCTTCTGATATACAGAAATGCGTGTTTGGACACAGTAGGAGGCCAGATTCTACAAATTATTTCATATCTATGCTTACGGTAGGTTGTCCATGGGTGCAATGAATAAGCATCTTGAGTAAACTACCCTAAGCAGAATTCTGGAACTGTTTGTGGAATCTGACCTCCTACCTCCAAACAGGCAACTCTGAACATCAGAAGATGCGCCGCGCCGAGCTGAGTCGAATAGTGCCTTGAAACACGGTCCACCTTAAGTCGAGGGGTGCGCGCCCATCCAATCACCGTTGCGGAGAATCGGCCTGCGAGTTCTTCGGAACGGGGATTGTAAAGGTTCGACTCACATTTCGAAATCAGGGACATGAGAAGGCCCGAAACGACAAAAACCTGTAAGTCGGGGATTTGGTTGGAAGGTGCCTCTAAACTAAGAATTCGTACACTCTGAAGCCAGTTATGGCCACGCTACGGCGATGCCACATGAACCAGGCCATGTGCGTCGCTTTTTCAAAAATTACGGGCGGTATTGTATGTATTTAACTTCGTATTTTTCCTTGAAAGAGCAAGCTGTCGCGCAATCATTGAATATGATACGAGCGTTTTTGATGCATTCGCAGTATGTAGGGTTTGAACTTTTTTGCACAGCACGTCACATCAGGATACCGTATCCAGCTTCAACAAAGTATATTACCGCTCTTATCGCGTAGCGGTTACCTTGCGTTCGGACTTATGGAGTTTGTGGTAACAAATTGGATTGCAAAGAATTTCGACACAGCTAATATTTTCATAGGACCTGATGAAAACATTACTCACTAGTTGCTGATAGTGCAAAATATACATTAAAAAAATTTAACGGAAGTGCAAATGTATTTCTTCAGTGATACCTGAATTTAGTGATTGTTGTAACATTCTCTTTTTCTTGAGATTACTTCGCTATTCTGCTTCAGCACGCTTATGGATGTAAGGAATACCCACTTATAAGTGGATTACAAGAAACGAAAGATGAAGGATGAAACATGAATCACTACAAATAGACTATTCTGGTACTAAACAGTAAGCACAAAGCGGCCTAGTTTTTTTTCCTTGTCACAAGTATTGTTTTAATTCAGAACAACACAAAAATAGGCAGAAGCCAAAGGTGATTCGCTGATCTCTTATTCCTAAACGTTTTCATATTACGTACTAATGAACATGTGTAGAGACAGCTGTCATATAGGATTTATAGATTCGCACTGGTCTACCGCAAAAAAAGACAGTGTTTGTAGAAAAAGTGAAACCGAGGCCAGACTTCATTGCAAAAAAAAAACGCTCACTACCTTAACTTGAACTTTGATAGGTCAAAGTCTCATACTTATTTTTTAATGATGTTGTATGGGACTTATGGCATCAGCGCGATTGTAGCGGGGAAAGTCAGACAACTAGATGACTTCTGCCTGCATTTCCGTGTTGACAAAGAAAAATATAAACGCCCTTTTATGGTATGCTTAGGTTACTACAATCACACACCGTTTTGAAGACGTGATCATCGCATTCTGTTGCCTGAAACCCTTTTTGAAGTACTTCTGGTAAAAGCTTTATTCAGGACAAACGCGACACTTCTTTCCTGCGCAAAGTTACGGACCTGCGGTAGTGGTGCAAAAAGCTCAAAGGCAATGGCTCGGAAAAGTTGCTTTTCACAGCCACATGCTCTTTTGGATCCACTGAGTCTAGCGCTGTGCTTGGAAAGTCAAAAAAGCCCCTTTTCGGCGTTTTCCGGCATTGGAGATTGCTGAGAAGCCTGGGCGAGGGATTCCCGCCAAAAACAGCGACCGGCTGCAGGGTACTGTAACTCCACCCACTTTGACGGCAATTGGCTGATCGTTGGCAGCCAATCGTGACTCAGTCTGCGATCGGTCGCCCATCCCCTGTTCCAAAACGGGAAAACGCCATGAAAAACTTTTTGGACGCTACAAGCACAGCTTTAAACTCACCGCATCCCGAAGGCCAAGAAAGATGGAAAGCTACAAGTCTAGATTTTCCCGACCTACTGCCTCTAAAGTATGGGTGTTCGCACTGATAAAATATATATTTGAGTAGTATGTCACCGTTGTTCATGAATTCTCGAGGTTACTCACCGCTTCTGACTTTGCGGTCTTCCGAAGGTTGTTGAAGACGTGGCATCGATCTCGAATCATTCATAGCCTGGTAGAAGCAAGCGGCAGAGTTCCAACGAGCGGTACTGTAAATATTCATATTCTCAAGAATGCATGTTTCCGTAAAAATATTGTTATGTTTAAGACAAATTGCTTTCGCTCGTGAAACAAAATATTGAACATAAATTGAGGAGTTGAGATGGATTAATGAACCATGTCATTTTAATACACTTTTGGGACCACCTGAACTTTGGCATAAATCATTTACTGTAATAATTGCCGACAATTTATTAATTTTGACAAATTGGTCTGGCGATAATTTTGGACATTCCTAGAGTTAAACAAGTTCAGGAATACTAGAATTTTTTGGTAAGATGGAAATCATGTGAATTCGCAATTTCGGGTGTCGCAAATACGAAATCCTGTGTGGATAAATTTCTAGACGAGGTTCATCATAAGTTTATTTGCCATGTAGCCCTATCAAAATTTTTGCCCAATGTCCAGAAAAAATAAAGAGCAAGCTTTCTAAAATACAATTATCATTTTGCACAGATCTTGACAAAACGATTATTACTTTATATTTCAAAGTCTTAAATTAAGAAAAATTGAATTAATCAGAAGTAAAAAACATAATCGCAAGGACAAGCAAGGTCTGTAGCATTTCAGCAGGACTTTGTTCATTATTACAGAAGTGGAAACGTTAAACTGGGAACTTCCGCAGGATTTTCACGTCAAACTGGAAACGGAACCGGAGGGCTGCTGTCCAAAGCGCTGCGGACATTCCGAAAAATGAAAGCGGTTCCGCAGCACTTTCACCTGTCAGTACTTGCGCAGATTGTGCCTTACAGTGTTGTTTTACTAACAACTAGAGTGCGTTGTCGATTATGTCATTTGTAGCGTATAGGATGGTGAGTGAGTCTCGTTGTCATTGGTGCAAGTTCGAATCTCACTTAGGTGTCCCCTTTTGCTGTTGTGATTCGAATCTACGCAATTTCCGGGGCACGTTCACGGAACTCTCGCAGGTGAAACGGCAGAACATTCCCAAAGGTTCTGAGGTGGTTAAATTGTAAGACGCAAATAAAAAGAACTAGATACAGAAAAAAGAATCTTATAATGATGTAAGTGAAGCATAGCGTTACGTCCATATTGAACAATCTAAAAAAACTGAGCATTTCCAAAACAGTCCCGGTCAACTGGCACTATCGCTATATTCAGTCAATGCACAAGGAACACTTGACCGTTCCCCAGTCTAGGCTCCTTTTTGACAGAGCACGATAACTACCCGGAAAATTATGTAGGATTCAATGTGAGATTCACTTAGTAGGAAATCGTATTATTTAGCCATTCACAGGGCAGCTGGGAGAGTAGTTTGGTAAAAAGCCTTTCATGGAAATAGGTGATTGATTACCTATTAACGAGAAATATTTAGTGTAAACAGGTTAAGTGCTCGTACTTACGTGAAGCTCATGCCCTTTCGTTTACATTTCGCAAAAGGCATCAAAATTTGATTAATTTCTCATATCTGTGCCAAAGGGCACTAAGTCATAGAGAGCGTGATTATAATAAAAATGTCAAATGGAGCATTATGGCGAGGTTTTTTCGGAGAATTTTTGAGGCTACAAGCTAAGACGAATATGAGGGCTTTTTGATGCAGCTGCTTCTCAAGATTTTCGTTCATGATAATAAGTCAAAATGAAGCTTTATATGTTTGAATTCATCCGGTTGTTTAATGACTGGACATTGTAGCCCTAACACGAGAGATAATCAAGGTATAAGAAAACTCGCATAAATAAAGCGTTCTCTGCGTTCAAAGTTACCCATACCAGTGTTGCTTCAGCGCCTGATCGTCTGCGCATAGCGACCCCCGGAAATCCGGCACAGTGCTAGCACGGCGCTGGAACGACGCTGGCACCCGCCTACAAGGGCATCCGAGCGCAGCCTAATTAAGTTATCTTTTTGAAGGCTTTATGATAAGAGAGGTTCATGAAAAAGCGCTCAGTGTTGTAAACCTGAGCTCCTCAGTTGTTCTCCATTTATCGTGTCTTTGGATATCCAAAGTAAAGGTGGTACCAATCGTTCGTTCCTAATAATTGGGAGTTTACCGAAGGGTAAACTCCCATTTATTAGGAACGAACGATTGCAACAGATTTTTGCCACTTATAATATGGAAGAACGACAAAATATTACCATTTTTATTATCAAATTATCGTCATAATTCAATTTGACTAAGCAAGAGGAAACAGCAATTGAATACATTTGGATTTTTTGAAGTTATTTGTCATGAGTCTTATATTAGGTTGTACCGAAAGTTCTGTCGTTTCATTTCTGAAAATTTGTAACTTTGCACTGTTTCAACGGATTTGCTTGCCTGTAATTTTATTAGAAAGAATAAGTCTTTCTCTTATACGCTGTTTTGCGGAGCTTCTGTTTCACATTGGGTGCGGAGATAAAAATGGAAAACTAAGACCATGTAAACTTTGACCATTTTAAGTTAGGTCACCAAAAATCTGGAATGCTGCAGAAAAATCTGAAATCATCAGTACATATGTTTTTTGACCTACCCTTTGCATCTGTGAAAAAATTGTGCTGTTTGGACGTCTCTGTGAGAAGTTATGAATATCGAGCTTACTATGGAAAAGGCCAAAATTAATTAATTTGTCAATTTTCGCGAAAATCATAACCTCTCACAGAGACGTCCAAACAGCACAATTTTTTCACAGATGCAAAGGGTAGGTCAAAAAACATATGTACTGATGATTTCAGATTTTTCTGCAGCATTCCAGATTTTTGGTGACCTAACTTAAAATGGTCAAAGTTTACATGGTCTTAGTTTTCCAATTTTATCTCCGCACCCAATGTGAAACAGAAGCTCCGCAAAACAGCGTATGAAAGAGAAAAACTTATTCTTTCTAATAAAATTACAGACAAGCAAATCCGTTGAAACAGCGCAAAGTTACAAATTTTCAGAAATGAAACGACAGAACTTTCGGTACAACCTAATACTTTCTTATTGCTCCCGTGAGTAAAATGTTTTCCGCTGTAAGAGATGTTAAATAATTTGAAGAACGTTTTAGAATCAAAAGTTCATTCTGATAAGAGCCCCGAAGCTCACAGAACGAGCAAAAGGATTACTATTTTTTGTGAACTCTGCGTCCTATCTGACAGAAGTCTTCGATGCTTAAATCAGGCTTCTTACTGAGGTTAGATGCAATGTCCCGGCAAAATTTCCCTCTCCACTTTTTTACCTTCTTGGAGCCTTTTGCCATAAGGAACCCGCACCTGGACTTTTCAACGCATGAAAATAGCAAAAATGAGCTTTTTTTCAAGCTTTCCAGGTTCGCATTCAGCGGAAAATACGTGTAAATGGGCGGTGCGTGAGATTTCCGGCGCACGTTTACTGAATGCGGACCTAAAGCTTCGAAAAAGGCTCATTTTCGCAATTTTCATGCGCTGAAAAGCCCAGATATGGGCTCCTCATGGCGAGAAGCGTCCGAGTAGGTACTGAACATTAACATTGAAATATGAACTCACTCTTCTTGATGATACATTGGAGATACGCCAAGCAGATCAGCTATGACATTTGCGCGGCTGCACGAACATGGAAGCGGACAGACGCATGACGATTGGACGAGTTTTTCTACGCACGAAGACATTTTGTTCAGATATCTAAAGCAGCTTTCTGAATTTCAGACACTGTTGAAAGGAATGGAACTGTTTCGCGAAGAAAAAAAAAAGTTCTAGGAGAAGAAACTACTATGAAAAGAGAGCTTCAATCAAACTCAAATGTAGAATCGCATAACACCTGGAATATCGGGAAAACACTTATGCTGACTAGTTTTGAAGGTTTTTCTTCCATTTCCTGCCAAAGAAGATGGTAAATGGGTTAAAGGTTGAACAGCAACGCAGGAAAGGCAGACAACCAGCAATTTCCTCAACTGCAATGTTTGATGGCTGTCTAGAGATCGAAAAGTCAAGAAGTTTAGGAATCAAACAAATTACTGCTCAAGAACAGGCGTTTACTTCATAATACTTGAAACTAGACTTTTAAAGACTTAATTTGAATGAAATGGAGAGAAAAGCGAAGGCACGCTTCTGAAAATGAGTTGCTTGTCAATCTCCTAGCAAGCTTATGGGTCCAAAACTTTGAGAAAATTCAGGAAAAAGCAAAGAAGACATCTTTTTGCAGGTCGAAAACACAAGTACGAATAAGGTTTTTTTACGGATAAAGGCCAAAGAGGACTTTGTAAAATTTTGTGGGAGTTAGACGGGCTTTGTTTTCTCTATTTTCGGAAAGCCACATTGTGCCGAGTGCTGAATGTAGAGCACATTCAAAAGTATAGCAGCTTTCCGGGATGGGAGGGGGGGGGGGGGGGCTCCTCAGGCGGTGAAAAATGCAGAAATGGCTGTTCTCTATAGTTGTGGAAACGATTGCTGGAGCACATGATAGTGCGAAAAGAAGTGTTACAAATGCATTCAAGTGAAAAAACAGAAAGAATGGGAATAAATCTACTCCAAAATCCCATGCTAAAACAGTTGGGCCTAAAATATGACTGGAAAGTGGAGGAAGAGGGGGAGGAAAAAAAGAGAAGCAAGCAAGGAGTTATGACAGGAAAAGCAACGTTGTCTATAGCATGATGTCACACATCCTTATAAGGACTTCCCTCGCGCCAGCGCTGTCGATACAAAAAAAATGACGTGGACAGTCTCAAAAGACGCATTGAAATAGTTGGTAGAAAACAGGAAAATGCGATCGTAAAGATGACTCAACTTTACAATTCTCCAAAAAGGAAGTAAATCAGCTGAACTTGGCACCTCAATCAGACTTTGAATGAGTAAGAATTGGCAGACGCAAGCAAAAACAAGTTTGCAACGTGAACGCCATTGTGATGATTCCATATAAATCAATGCTATTCCCATCGTTTTCTGTTATGTTCAACGCTTAGATTCCGCGAACAAAAGCTGTTCGGAGACATATGATAATGACGTGGAATTCAGCTGCAAAATGCTATCAGTATAATTGCTGCTTAGCGACACAGGAAGAAAGGAAAAACCCTTAACGGTCTGGGAGAACAGCTCTAACTTCATCGCAACAGTTAAAATCAAGAAATTATTCAAAAATAAAATCCCAAAATGGAGCCATAGAAGAACGAGGAGGCCTTTCAATGAGGGGGGGGGGAGGGGAATAAAAGATACTAATGAGGAATTTAACAAAAAAGCATTGGATCTTGTATGCAGATATTAGCGAGTGGAAGTGGTATCAAAGTGAGAAGACAAGCCAAGTGGGTAACATTTAATTTTATCAAAGAATAATTGACAAAAATCAAAAGTGGGAGGGGCAGAAAGCAAAAAGAGGCATGGTAGAGCTACTTTCATGGACTCAGACTCTTTTGTATAGACTAGTGAACCAAATCCAAAGGTGCTAGATTCGCAGGTGCGTTCGCTGCGAGAGCCGCGCGGCTTCCCGCAATTTCACCTTTTTTGAATTGACGGAATGACTCTTTATATATAGATTAGTACAATTACATGTAAAAGAAATTATGTACACATGCGACCAAGTGGGTGGCTAGACTATCAATCTTATGAAGAAAATGATCTACACAAAGCCAAAACTGAAGAGGTGAGGGGCATTAGGAAACTGACTATAAAGAGTTGTGGTACACGACTCCTTACGGACCGCTAAGTCTTTGCACTTTCGAAATTATGAATACTGAAAGAAGAAAAAAGACAATGCGACCAACAGTCATACTTTATTACCACTTAACACCAAAGAAGTCGCTTTGCTTTTATTCTCTCCCTCCCCCCCCTCTCCCTCTCCCTCCGCCTTCAAGTCTTCCCCATGTCCGATGAGACCTTCCACTTTAATTCTATTTCCGAAGGCCTAACCCTGAATGCGTAAATTCCGACTTGAAAGGAGCGCTGAAATTAATGGAGTTATGCTCATGAACAGCGTAATTAAAAATATATCATTTGGAAGTTTCACGAATTGTTTTAACTGTAGCATCCATAGCAAGCATAAATCACAGCCAAATAAGCACGTGGTGTAACTACACACCGCACACCATCAGCGAACAAAAAGGTTTTAACGTATCTCATTGTGAAGGCACGCCTTCTCGGTGTTTGGTGATCGACGGGACGATGCTGTTTTCTAAGATTCTGGTTTATTAGTGATGTCTTATGCCTGACAAGCTTTGCTTTGATGACGATAGTTGTTGTTTGCTTGAAACTTCGATGTAAATCACTGGAAATGGTAATACAACGTAGATCAGAATCGTAGTGATGATTTGAACGAAAATTCTCAATCATAGTGGAGAAGGCAGAAGACTCCAGTATACCCAGAGATCTGGACAATAAAAACGTCGTGGAGTACAACACAAACGTCAGCAATCAAAATTTTTCGACAGATCAAAATCTTATCACTGCTGCACATGGAAAACTAAAACATCGTTTTCGAAATTTTAAAAAGTCGTAGCTATGCGAGATTGTCATGAGATTATTTAGGAATTCTGAGATGCGAATGAAAGCTTGTTGTCTATGGAAATGCAGTGAAAATTTTCGTATTAACAAAAAATCCGTCACTGAAAGATTACTAAATGAGAAATCAGGCGCAACTGCAGTATGTTTTCTGCCCGACAACAAAGAAAATTAAGCGAGCAAATAGTACAACCGAGCGTATAATAGGGCTACATGCAGCACTAGGCCATTATATAAACTTGTGAAAACTTCTAGAGTGGAAATAAGTCCTATGTACTTTTATAGTCAAAACTAGATCTCCTTGAACTTCAAGAGAGGGACCTAGTAAAAATGTCCGAAAAGAACTTTTTGTAAGAACTTACGTAACTATATGCGTGGTCATAGACTTATAATAAAGCGAATGATAGAAGAACAGTTTATCTACAGCTGTAAAGTTATTAAGCTCAAGTACGAAGTACACTTTAAACAGGAATGAATTAGAGTTGCGAAAGTACCAGATTGGAGCAAAGTCCAAGGATGATAGGAACCAAAAACTGGTTTCCAAAGCCCATTCGAGTTTGACATAAAATTGTAATGATTAATCAGCGTTCTCTGTCAAAACACAAGGCGAACCAAACAATGCTAGCCTAGCAATAAGACTGATTTCACCTTTGAAGCATTTCCCACCTGCAGATTAGAAGATTTAGAGTTAGCAAAAATTCTAAATAAATATCATCTTCAAGACTGTGGAAATGCATAAATGAGAAAAGAGGCGGTGCCGTTGTATTCAAAACTGCCCAAAACAGGTTTCATCTTCTTCTTACAGATCATCGATCATCATTAATTTTATGCATATTTTTTGCAGTTGAAGATGAATTAGTTGGATGCGCTATAGATCTCGATTTTAGAAACTCGGATTTCTGTAGTACTCTACACTGGTATGAACATCTTTTACAAGAGGGGCAGACTCAATTGAAGTGGTGATATGGGATGTTTGCTAACTAGAAATCTTGGACTTGTGTGGAAAAGCCCTTTCTAAAGTTAAAGCATAATTGAGAAAGAATGACCGAGATACCAAGCAGCAACCGTAAAGTTCATTGTGATGGCTCTTTTATGAACATCAATGCAAATGACATAAGGGTTTCTAAGACGGTGCTTGTAAGAAATCAAGTGCAGGCGGATGTCATAGCAAGTCCATAGAGACGCCTCTCTTTCATCAGCTTTCAGTCATGACGAAGTTTTACGAGGAGATCGGAACATCGACCACCAAACATCACTGTACATATACATCAGGAGCTAGAGTGGAGTATTCAGTGGGTGAGACGTCAACTAAAGAAGATGTCATTTTTCATTAAGGGAAGAAATATGAAAGTACTTTGCTTAGTTTTATTCATTCGTTGAAAACGCTCAGAGGAGAGCTGTATTAGATTCAGCGACCATTTGTGACAGAAAAGAAAAGACGAGATAAAAACGTTTGGCAAAAACTCATTCTAGATCTCGTTCTCGAGGAAAACATATGAGACAAAAGCATCTCTCCTTCTCAAAAATGTTTTGCAAATTTTCCATCGGTTTCCCCTAATGGGCTATATGTAGTAGTGTGCAGATGTGTTTTTACTTGTGTAGGATTAGTTTTTTTCAAGTTGGATAAATCCCGCAAAAGCAGCGTCCACTTTTCTTAATACGCCTTCCATTTTAAAAATCTCCCGTCTATCCAAATACATTTTTTCGAACTGTCATTGGTTCCATCCACTCTTGCAGAAATTCCTACGATTTTACTCTACCACGCACTGCTTTCGATTAATTCAGATGAAAAATGTGGGGGCATAAAATTGCGACCACTTTATTAGAAGTGTAAGCCAACGCAGAAAGAAGAGCAGAAAATCCTACAGTGAAGCACTTTTCGGATAGAGCAAGAACATAATATATCTTGATATGGTTGACATTTCTACTATGTTTGGAAACCGTAAATCGCAAAAGCTGAAAAGGTTACTATTTGCATTGTTGTTTTTCCTTTTTCTTTTATTCTTTCGCACATCTGGAATACGAATAAAATCAAAATAAAATGAGTTCTAAAACTATAACATTTTCTGCCACCAATGCTTATTGATTTTTTTCAACTTTTCAGCACTCATTTATTCCTGTAAGCCTCCCCCTTCCCATCTGAATGTCGAAGATAAATCCTCAAGCATTAACTTACCAAAAACAGATAAAACAAGT